GCTACGTATGGGTTCAGTTTTGGTATGCCTGTGCTCTGCTTGTCCAGGGATTTATTTATCATACTTCTGGCTTTCACCTTCGGTCTCTAGTTCGTGTGTTTCTGGCTACTGAGTGATATTATGTTGTGCTGTATTCTGTTATTATGCGATTGCCAGATTCCCGACTGAGTGTATTAGGCATATCTGCATCAATCAGTATTATACTGATGGATTTTTGCTGAGCATTGTGATGGTTGATCTTATTTAATTGTGGAATCCACATCATGCATTTTTCTTATATACAGTACATTTGGAGAACTGACAGACATCGTATGGATTCTAAGTGGTTTTAATGGTGCTCTAATGCAATTTTCCTGCCAAAAATTGCTTAAACAGTACATTTGACTATCACCTTTGGTCTCTAGTTCTTGTGTTTCTGGCTACTGAGTGCTATTATGTCGTGCTGTATTCTGTTGTTATGTGATTGCCAGATTCCGGACTGTTGTAGGCATAATTTCATCAGTATTATCATGGTGGATTTTTGCTGAGCGTGGTGATGGTTGGTCTATTTAATTTTGGAAGCCACATGCATTTTTCTTATGCAGTGTACATTTGGAGAACTGACAGAGACATCTTATGGATTTTAAGTGGTTTTAATGTTGCTAACGCAAATTTCCTACCAAAATTTGTTTAAATAAATGAAAGGGGTTAGTACTTCGATTTGAAATGATGTATGCTCTTCTGTGAACAAAATTTTTATTGCAAATACAAAGTAATAACCAGATTTGCTTTGTTAATGCCGAAGAATAATTGTGGAGTTATAAATTGCTCTTGCTATTTGAGGTTTCTGCAGAAACTAAAACCTACCTGGCTACCCTCTTGTACACTTCCTTGGCAAAACTGGTAGTGTATCTGCTAATTGAACCTTCATGGCATTAGTGGAAGCAATTGAAATATGCGCATATGTAATTTCTTACTGTATGTTAGGTGGTTGCAGATTCTATCATATTTCTGCACATTCTCAACAATCTGTGCATGGATGAGAACATGGATATATCTCCTGTCATGTTATTAATTACCTTTTCGTTTTTTTTTCAGCCACAACATTAACTGGGCTTCATTTTGTGACTACTACCTTGATGACTATCGTATTTCGATGGTTTGGCCTGAGCCAGCCGTCCCACTTACCCCTAGCAGATCTAGTTAAATTTGTGATATTTTCGAACTTGTCAATTGTTGGGATGAATGTGAGCTTGATGTGGAACTCTGTGGGCTTTTATCAGGTTGGTGAAATTTTTAGTAGCTACTATACTATGCAACCTTAAATTGTTAACAACTAAATTCATTCTATTCCCTTGCTTAGATAGCAAAGTTGTGCATGATACCTGCATCATGTCTTCTGGAGGTTGTCTTTGATCATGTACATTATTCCCGGGACACAAAGCTGAGCATAATGGTCGTGCTTATAGGAGTTGCAGTCTGCACGGTTACTGATGTCAGTGTGAATGCAAGAGGTCTAATTGCGGCTGTCATAGCTGTTTGGAGCACAGCTTTGCAACAATACGTAAGTTTTAGCACCTTTGTATGCAGATTTCTCATACATCACCCAACCTCTAAGATTGCTTACTACCCCCTTCTGTTTGCAATTAGCTGCAAGTCTGTTGCCGCACACTTTGAGCCTTTTCAAAGGACAATATGGCACTGTAGTGACAATGATACTTGTTTATTCTGCAAAATTATCAATAACTAGCAGTTGTCAAATTATTCATTGGTGTTCCTGCTGCTTTAGGATATAGCTCCTTTTTTTCTAGAGATTATGAATTGCCACTCACCATGGCCATACTTGGTATTTTCCATATTTGGACTGTCAGACTTAATAAATGTGCTCATGAATCATGATGCCACTGATATATTGTTCTTTACACAAGTTATAACTCCATTTCCCAAATGTTGAACATGTGATATCATTTGATTCCACAACTTTGGCTTTTTACTACTATTCTATTGCTCTTGGTACCCCACATTTTCAGAAATCGTTCTATTTGGACTTTGGCCTTGTCCTGTACCCAATAAATGGGATACAGTTTAGACTCATTCTTATTTCTGCTCCTTCTGCAGTACGTCCATTTTCTCCAACGCAAGTACTCTCTGAACTCATTCAACCTCCTGGGCCACACTGCTCCAGCCCAAGCTGGGTCACTCCTGCTAGTGGGACCATTTGTAGATTACTTGTTGACAGGCAAAAGGGTGGATCACTTCAGTTTCTCATCGCTTGCTCTGGTAAGGACAGTCTATAACAATGTTTCTATCTCTGTGATCATGACAGTTTATGCTTCTGGTTCTGTATATGATTTGTATATCTGTTTGCTTATTAGAGAAAAAATGGTGATTAGCTGGCATTTTATCTGGTCGAGAATTCGCAATACTGTGATGGTTTATAAGATCATCACACAGTCTCGTGAATGTTATGCAAAAAACATCCACAATTTTTCATTGATTTCGTTTGTTCTTGTTGCTGAAATTCCTCCATTTTACTTATTGACCTGTTAGCAATAACTTAGCAACCATAACTTAGTAACTCATAGTGTCCTTACCATATCATGTCCCTGATTCTGCAGTTTTTCCTGGCACTCTCATGCTTCATCGCCATTGGTGTTAATCTGAGCCAATTCATCTGCATTGGGCGGTTCTCTGCTGTATCCTTCCAAGTCCTAGGCCACATGAAGACCGTACTTGTTCTGTCCCTTGGGTTCCTTTTCTTTGGCAAGGAGGGCCTGAATCTTCAGGTAGTCCTTGGGATGGTTCTGGCTGTTCTTGGAATGATATGGTACGGAAATGCATCTGCTAAACCAGGCGGCAAAGAGCGGCGCAGCATCCTGCCGGTGAGGTCTGCAAGTCTCAAGGGAAGTTCAGAAGAAAAGGCGGGTACCGAGAAATAGTCTTGCTATATCTGACTGCAACTTAGATGGGGAATTTTTCGTTCCGAGGTTAAATTTCTGGTGAGGTGACGCAAGTATCACAGATTGGGAACTCTGCCTTGTGTTTGACGCAGGAGACAAACTCGTCCCATCTAGAAACTCAGGATTGTTATAGTTACAGGTATACTGTAAAGCTTCAATTTTTTTGGGCGCTCTGAATCATTTGCAGTGAGGAGAAATACAACATGGTTTACGAGGCTTCAAGACAGTTTTTATCGAATATATAGTGCAGTTGTTTGAGGAACATACCCTTCTGTATTTCGTGGGGATGTACTGTAGGAAGTTTTGAATTGCAGTAAGAGATTAATCAAACTGAAAGACTGGATCTGCTGAACTGAATATAATTTAAATCTTAGAAAATGCTGTTTTTTCTTCTGAATGTTTCGAAAATTTGTGTTTTCGGAGCTGGGAAGGTCAGGGTTGGTGCCGCTCGCTACATGGTCTTGGATCGACCTGGATTCGTGTTGTGATGGGCTGGCTTGGAATTTGCAGGATGCGAGCACAGCATTTTTCGGTGTTTCATTCATGTGTGCAACTATGGCTTCCTGTACCACTAAGGTTCTATTAGATGAGTATAAGGAAAAAGTTTATTTAACCCCTCGACTAGTAGCGTTCATCTAGTTCACCTCTTCAAAGGAAACTAGGTATTTTATCGCTTGAGATATTGAAAACCGTATGAATATCCCTTTGGGGTGTTTTCAAAGGCAGTTTTGTTGACGTGCAAGCTTGGTGAGGTCGGGGTAGGCTAGGAAGGAAGAAAACTTGGTGAGGTAGCCATCGAGAGGAGAAAGCAAGAGGGAGGGAGGATGTTAGATGGGATGGTGTTGGCATAGACATGGTGCATGAGATCGCGGGTTGGCTCGTGAGGAAGAAAGGCTGATGGGAGCAGCTAGGATGCAGAGTAAAAACGAAATAGAATGTAGCCACTTATTACAAATGAGCCCACATGCAAATATGAGTAGTCAGGTTAGTACGGCGGATCACAGTGGCGGATTGGATCAAACACAGAGGGAATATGAGTAGTCAGGTCAGGACAGGACAGCTCAAGCTCGAAGCATGAGTGTGCCGCTAACTGAGCAACGTGCATGACGTACGACGCCGTGGCTAGAACTAAGGAAGGAGGTGGCGGGGACAGGGGGTAGGCGGTGGGCGGTGTGGCCAGCGGCGAGGTCGCCGCGGGCAGGACAGATGGCCGCGCAGACCTAGTGTATGGGTCCTTCGACCTGAGTTCTGTGAGGACCAAGAGTGGTAGATGATCCATGTGCGATGTAAAGTTCATGGCATTGGCACAAACATGAGCTTGTATCAAAAACTTATGTTGAATTTGTTTCAAAGACTTATGCTTGTACTTTGAATGTTGTGTAATGACTAAGTTTGGAACAACATATTGTAAACTTAATTTACCCTTTTAATGTTGTTATGAACTTGACGTAAGTTGTGATGTTCCTTTGTGCCGTGATCCGATCCTGGATGAAGGTCGGATATGTAGTACACTATATAGGTAGTGTACTGGGATGACCGATTTAGTTGGTTATCTAGCTAATTATAGTCAATGGAAGACTATTTATAGTTAGTTAAACAATGGGAGGCGATCCTCACACAATTACTACTTACTCCATCATATTTTCCCAGAATTTTCATAATAGACCATAGTGAGGTCCAAGCCTACTATATTATTCCTCATCCACAAAGCAAACTTGCGCAGATGTACAACAAGTAACAACATGTACAAGCTTGACAAAAATCTGGGCAAAGTATATATAGTTGAGGATTTCATAGAATTGATGATTGCCATATATCATTAGCTTAGCATCATGGAACATATACAATTTCCTTATTTTCTAAAATTAAAAATAGGTGTGCAACGCCAGGCTGCTCGGAGAGCTAACAGTCTGTGGAGAACATCCTTACAGAGCCGGCGAGGGTTCATGTCTTGGCACCCTCATATTATGATGAAGCAGGGGGCCATCGATCTGTCCGGGTGATCTCTTCATCTTTTTAAATAAGGAAAGTAGATCGAACCAATAACTGATGGTGATGAAGCTAGACCATATCAAGTAGCTCAGACTTGAAACTATGACCCAGCCGAATTCTCAATTTCAAGATGGGCCATTCACCAAGAAGCTTAGTAAGAATGGGCAATAAAGATGTTAGAACGCAGACCACAATAGCGAGCCAGAGGAGACGAGGAGCTACAACAGTGAATAAACCGGTTGCAAAGGCTGTGGTGGTTGCAATGTAGGCAAACCACATTAGCTTCTTTGTAAAAGACCTGTAGTAAAGCAAGAACTCAAGATCCTCCCACTTTGCAATGACACATATGAAGGCAACAGCAAGTGAGGAGCACATTGCCAAGGCGTCTGAGATCAAGAATGCCTTAAATGCGAACTTCCTTGACATGATGGGAAGCCCCTCGTTTCCAGAATCAGTGCTATATCCTCCAGGCAATGTGAAAGCAGCAGCAAAGGTTATTGTGGCGATGAGGATCGCCACTAGGGAAGTGTTTTGTGTGTATGTTTGAGTCAGCGACTTGATATCCTTCCTTGATAAGTCGGTCACTTTATCTTTGACTTCCTTTTGGAGATTAAAACCAGAAAGAGCTGTTGAAATTTCGTAGGACTCAATCGAGTCAAGTTCATCAGATCGGGTATACAGTAATAGGAATACATGTACACAGTGAAGTAGGGGTACATGTTCTTGAATCCCAGTAATTAAAGATCCTAATACATGATCTACAAAGAGGCAGAGAGAAGGGGAGTGAGAGGTTGTAGACCATCGAAGGCCGTAGTGGTCGAAGCAGTCGGAGTGGTGGAAGCGCCGGTCGGGATCTCGTTCGCTGATGCCATCTGCGCGCCGGCAGCGACGTTCGGTGGAGAGAGGAGTCGGTACAGTGACGTCCTTGGCGGCGGCGTATGCGTCGGGGTGGCGTTGCCGGCGTCAGTGGTGCTTCCCGTCGCTGGCAGCGCCCCTTCTCAAGATCGGGTTAGGGTTAGGATGTCGGTGGGGTGTCTGGCGGCGCGGTGAACCTCGTACCACGAGCCCCGGCCCTCACCTTTTCTTTATAGCGCTGTGCGACGGGGGCCCACCAACCATGTAGGGTTGGGCGCCCCCGATCAGGACGCGAGAACAAGACCCAAAGGCCGTTGGGCCTAATGGCGTGGGAGATCAATCCAACATTCTCCCCCTTGATCTCTCATCACTTTTTTCGTTCTTTAATTCTTACTCAAAACTTTCGATTCATATTTTTCTTGCTTCCATCCTATTTCATCACAGATTAGTGCATAGAACTGTCCCATCGTCACAGCAATTAGTGCCGTTAGACTAACAGCCACAATACACTTCTCCGTTTTGAAATGTAAACTTTCTTTGGGCCCTTCGTATGTTCGGGAATCATAGGCTTTCCCTTAAACCCATGCCGGCTACGTGTTCTCTGAACACGTTGGGTGGTAAGCCCTTTGTGAGCGGATCCGCGAGCATTTTCTCTGTACTTATATGCTCAAGATTTATTATATGATCCCGAACTTTATCTTTCACAATATAGTACTTTATGTCAATGTGTTTGACAGCACCACTTGACCTATTGTTATGAGCATACTGTACCGCTGGGTTGTTATCACAATACAACCTCAGTGGTTCATTTATATTATCAATCACTTTCAATCCGGGTATGAATTTCTTCAGCCAATGCACCTGCCCCGTTGCCTCATAGCATGCTACAAACTCGGCATACATTGTCGAGGATGAAGTTACGGTTTGTTTGGAGCTTTTCCACGATATAGCCCCTCCTGCGAGAGTAAATACATATCCTAACGTGGATTTTCTTTCATCTCCCGCATAATCAAAATCTGAATACCCTTCTATCTGCAGGGTATCAGATCTTCAATACGTAAGCATGAGGCCTTTCGTACCCTGCAAATAACGCGGGACTTTCTTCACTAATTTCCAATGTTCAATTCCTGGATTCTTTTGATATCTGCCAAGTAACCCGGTAATAAAAGCTAAGTCAGGGCGTGTACACACTTGAGTATATTATAAACTTCCAACAGCTGAAGCATACGGTACCGTTTTCATTCGGTCAATTTCATATTGGTTATTGGGACACTGATGTTCCCCAAATCTATCGTCCTTGACTATAGGAGCAGGTGAAGGACTGCACGCATGCATACTAAATTTCTTTAGGAACTTTTCTATGTATGCCTTTTGCGATAATCCTAGAACCCCTTTTCTCCTGTCTCGGTGAATCTCTACTCCCAAAACGAATGAGGCCTCACAGAGATCTTTCATATCAAAGTTTGAGGACAAGAATTTCTTTGTTTCCATTAGTAGATTGATATCACAACTAGCAAGTAAGATATCATCCACATACAAAATTAGGAATATATACTTTCCATTCTTGAACTTTACATAAACGCAATTATCCTCAACATTTTCTTTAAACCCAAAACCTTTTATCGTTCTATCAAACTTCAAATACCACTGTCTTGAAGCTTGTTTCAATCCGTAGATTGATTTCTTCAGGCGGCATCCCATATTTTCCTTTCCTTTTACGACAAAACCTTTCGGTTGTGCCATATAAACATTTTGTCGGTGTTTCGTACAAGCACCGGCAAGTGAATTTATAGTAATGCGCGTTAGGCTCGGATGGTGCGCTAAAGGACACAGGATTTATACTGGTTCGGGCAAAACGTCCCTACGTCCAGTTTGTTGCTACTTGTGTTATTAGCACCGTAACGATCTGTAGTAAGGGATACAAACTGCCGAGAGAGGGACTGGTCCCAAGTCTCTGATCGAAGGATTGAAAGGTGGTCAAGAGCTTCGTAGCTGCTTGAATGTGTGTGAGTGCGTTCTATTGCTTTTGTCCTCCTTTTTCTTCCGCCCCTTTCATAGAAGAAGCGCATCCCTTTTATAGACGAAGGGGCGGCTTTACAAAGGTAAGGGCTCCGGGACGCGTACTCTACTTAGTCTTGTGGCTCACGCTCTACTCGTCGTGTCCTCCACCCCGATGAGTGCGAAGGAAGATAAGTGTTTACAATGTTGTCGATGTCTCTGCAGGATGTCGTTAGTCAGAGAATGCTGCCTCGCAGGCAGGGTATGGGCTGCAGATGTGATGGTTTTGACTTATGAGCCTCCCCACCTTGCTCCGCACGCCTTCCGGTTCTCGTGGAGTCCTCGTTGGGAGAATGCGGGTCGGGGTCCGTGTAACGCCGTGGTCAAGGCCTTCCGACCGGGAGGACCCGAGGGTCGGGAAGCGGGCGCCGCTCCCTCGGGTCCACCGTGTGGTGACGGAATACCCATCGCTCGTGGAGATAGCAAATCCTTTCCTCGGATCGTGAGCGGTTGTCGATATCTTCGCCGGGTTCCGTGTCCCAGAGCTGAAGGCGGCGCCTACAACTCTACAGGTGAGGTGCACGCACTGTAATACCTTTTGGACTCTGCGGCGCCTTGAAGGGTCTAAAGCTTTAGTCCTGCTCGCCTCGGTAGTCCTTTTCTCGCCAGTATGCAGGTATGGTCGTTGGAGCCATGGTTGACCCGAACGTCTTGTCTCGTCCCCTGTACCCATCATTATGAGGGATAGATATCGATCGTGGGCAAGGCTCATTCTCGGGCCGTCGGGTGAGGCTGACCCCTCCCTCCGGGCTCGGGCGAGACGGAATTGTCCCTCACCCTCGGGCGAGACCGAGCCCGCCTCAAGGCAGGCGTCAAGCGAGGCGGAGTTTATCCCTCGGCCCTCGGGCGAGACCGAGCCCGCCCTATAGGCGTCCAAGCGAGAGACGGAGATTAGCCTTGAGCTTTTGGGCGAGGCAGGTTATCCTACCAAGGCGTCGGGTAAGGCGACCCCGCCCCTCGGCGTCAGGCGAGACGGAATTCATCCTCAAATTCGGGCGAGACCGAGCCCGCCCTCAAGGCGCCGGGCGAGGCGGAACCGAACTCCTCTGTCACTCGAACAAGGGATGACATGGAGCCCTTATGCATCTAGAAGTTTTTTACGTTCGGTGGTCATCGGTTCCACCTTCCGGGGTACCTGGTATTAGGTCCCCGACAAGAGTTTCTCGAGACTCTGTGTGATTCGGTAGAACCGCCTGGAGGGTGTTTTTCTCGTGGGGTCGTGGCGTCCCGCCATCGGGACTGATTCGAGGCCGTCCTCACTGTGCTTCGCCCTTGGTGGCGGATTGTTCAGAGATTCCTTCTTAGTTAGGCCGGCCGGCGAGTTCTTTGGGCCCTAGGCGGGCCAAAGAGAAAAGAAACGGCCTTTTGGCTTGTGCTTCCCCGGTGGGTGGAGAGTCCGGATTCGCTTGGGGAAGGCGAACCGTCCACCGAGATTTTTTGGGATGAGAGGATAGGGACCGTGGCGCGTGTCCCGCGACGTGACGCGGTGGCGTGCGTGGCAGACCCGGAGATCGAGGCGGACGGTTGCCCTTCTCGCGTCCGTCGCCCCCTATAAAACCGCGGGGTTCGCCCCCAGGGTCCCGTGTTTCACTCCCCTTCCTTTGCGTTCTGAAACATCCGCCGCCAATCTTCCCACCTCTTGCGCCAAGACGCCACCGTCGGACCGGCCTGCGTTTGTGTTTCACCGCCGTTAAGCTCGCCGCCTTCCCCCTCCCGCTTCAATGGAGTTGTGGGGCGATCAAGCATCACTTCCCGCGCGTCGAGGGCCTCGTCCGCCGTGGCCTTCTCCGCCCACTATCCGCCGGCCCAGAGTGGTTGCTCCCGGCGACGAGGGTGAGCCGGTGCACTTCAAGGGTATGTCGCTCCTTTGCCATCTTCCATGAGCGGGATTCGGGTACCACGCATAGATTTCTTCGGGGTTATTAGATTTCTATGAGGTAGAGCTACAGATCTCTCACTCCCAATGGGATTCAGCATATGGCGGCGTTCGTTGCCCTGTGCGAGGGTTTCCTGGGGATCGATCCCCATTTTGATCTGTGGCGGTATTTCTTTAGCGTTAGTCTGTCGAAGAGGAAGATTGGGGGGAAAGAAGTGGACGCTACCGATGGGGTGTGCCAAGATTCACCGCGCGCCATACCCGATCGAAGGTTACCTGTACATGCGCCTGGCTACATCCAACAAGGGATGGCATTCGCAGTGGTTTTATGTTAGGGATGATGTGAGTGCCACCCTACCGAAGTACACCGGACGTCTTATTGTGGATGCCCCGGCGTCGTGGGGCTGGGGCGTCCAGACTAAAGACAAGAAGCACATCTCCGACCTTCTCTCCGCCCTCCATGCCCTGAAGGGTCGGGGTGTGAAGGGGTCGGGGATTATCGGTGCCTACCACGCGAGGAGGGTGGCGCCACTGATGGCGCGTGTGCTTCCCCTGCATCGGATGACGCCAGGGATGTCGTTTGAGG